CCATTTTTCACCTATTCTTCATTCATCTATCCATCATTCATCCATCCATCCACCCATCTGTCCATCCACCCATCTGTCCATCCATCCCTCATTCATTCATCCATCCATCCACCTATCCATCCACCCATCTGTCCATCCATCCCTCAGTCATCCATCCATCCATCCCTCAGTCATCCATCCATCCATCCATCCATCCATCAGCCTATCATCCACCCATATGTCCATCCTTCCATCCATCATCCATCTGTCATCCATCCATCATACATACATCCATCCATCCATCCATCCATCCATCCATCATCCATCCGTCCGTCCATCCGTCCATCCATCCATCATCCATCCATCCATCCATCCATCCATCCATCTATCATCATCAATCATCCATCCGTCCATCCATCATTCATCAATCCATCCATCCATCCATCCATCCATCAATCATTCATCTGTCCATTCATTTTTCATCCATTCATCCATCTATCATCCTTCAATCCATCCATCCATCCATCAGCCTATCATCCACCCATCCATCCATCCATCCATCAGCCTATCATCCACCCATCTGTCCATCCATCCATCAGCCTATCATCCATCCATCCATCCACCCATCTGTCCATCCATCCATCAGCCTATCATCCATCCATCCATCAGCCTATCATCCATCCATCCATCCATCCATCAGCCTATCATCCATCCATCCATCCATCCATCCTCTACTAGTTCTCCAGGGTCTCTATTAGGCTTGCCCCGATCCGATCCACGTATCAGATCGGGGCAAAAAATGCAAAAATGGCAAAAAAATGCGTATCGGCAAAGCATGTAAAATGCCGATTCAGACTGCCGATCCAGTTTTTTAAAAAAAATCGGGTCCGTATTTTCCAGTTTCGCCGATTGAAACGATCCATTCCACTATTTTGCGCCAGTGTTCCCCGATGCCGGTCCGTATTTTCCAGTTTCGCCGATTGAAACGATCCATTCCACTATTTTGCGCCAGTGTTCCCCTGTTTTGCATTTTTATTAAAACTTACAGTAATACTTGCACCTTTAACTGTTTACGGTTTTAC